TTATATATAAATTAATTATTTTACATTCATATCATTATTTACCGTTCATGTGTATTGGAATTATTGTTTTACTTTTAACTAATGATGAATTTATGATTTATAATTTTACCGCATTATTTGTAATGCCATTGATTTGCTTTTATTTTTTCTTGCTATTTAAAGTGCTAATATATTTATGCTGCCTATTTAAATATAATTTAAATATTTTAATATCAGATTATTATTTATATATCATTAATTTTGGAATTCTAACTTTTTTGTTTTTAATTATATATTTAGGATTTAAGATCTTGCGCTGTATTTATTATGCTATAACACTGATATTTATTCTTCCCGCTATATAAATGGCTAAGTCAAATAATAAACTTAAAGGTTATTACCAAAATGCCAGGGGTTTACGTACGAAATCATCGATATTTTTTCGTAATTTATGTAGCTGTGATTACGACATCGTTATAATTACTGAGACCTGGCTATTGGAAGGTTTTAAGGATACAGAGCTTTTTGATAACAGATATATTGTTTTCCGACGAGATCGTAACTATGCCGTGACTGGCCAGCTATATGGTGGGGGTGTGCTTATAGCTGTGCATAAGGATATGACGGTTATGTCTCAACCGGGATTCAACTCGAGTGCTGAAGATCTTTGGTTATCGTTAACACTGAGACTACGAAGTACTCAGCGCACCTTAAAATTACATATTTGTGTGCTTTATTTGTGTAACGAAAACGGAGGCTTTACATTTTCTCAACAACTGTCAAACTTTCTGGATAGCTTAAATGACGTGGTGATGAGACATCCGTATGATAAATATTTAATAACAGGAGATTTTAATTTAAGTAATATAAATTGGATAAAAAGAAGTGTTGATAGTTCTCACTACGAACCTTCAAATTTTAGTACTAGTGACGAGATTTTACTGGTCGATGAGATTAGTACTCTTGATTTAAAGCAATTTAATGGCATTAAAAATGCTTATGGGAGGACTTTGGACCTTTTACTATCTAATGATAATATCCAGGTAACAGATTGCAGTGACGATCCGCTTGTACCTATTGATTTACACCATGGCGCTTTGAATTTTGATATAGAATTTGCTAATTTTGTCCCCTTAAATGATGCCCCTCGCATCAAATATCTTTTTAATAAAGGCGATTATAATACAATTAATTCAGAAATAACTAAAATAGACTGGCATTATGAATTAACATCTAAACCGCTAGAAGCGGCAATAGAGTATTTTTACAATACATACATAACATTAAGAGACCAATATATACCACGCCAAACTGTTATTACCGACAACTACCCTAAATGGTACTCACCGGCTTTAAAAAGGGCTATTAGAGAAAAAAACAAATATTTGAAGAAATTTAAAATTTATGGCAACCGTACGGATGAACAATCTTTTAGAATTCTAAGGGAGCGATGTAAAAGATTGGAAAAAATATGCTATAGTGAGTATATAAGCTCAATAGAAAATTCACTGAGGGATAATCCAAAAACATTTTGGTCGTTTATTAAATCTAAATCAAATATTAATGAATTACCCAACAATATGAACCATGATGGCTTTGCATTTAATACTGGACAGTCAATTTGCAATGCTTTTTCTCAATTTTTTCACTCTAATTTCTTGCCGGCTCCAACATCTGTAAACAATTTAAGTTTGGCCTATTCGCCTCCTACTATTACCAATATTACCAAAATCATAATCGATATAAACGAACTGACCAGACTTCTCTCAAGGCTGGATCCATCAAAATCTGCTGGTCCAGATTTAGTGCCAGCTGTATTCCTCATAAACTGTTCTAAAACGATTGCCATTCCTATTTCTATTCTTTTTAAGAGGTCATTGACAGAGGGCATTGTTCCAAGTGTATGGAAGCAAGCTTATATTACACCAGTGCACAAAAAAGGGTCTAGATCGAACATTGCTAACTACCGCCCAATTTCTAAGCTCTCTATCATTTCTAAGGTATTGGAAAAAATTATTTACGAGCAACTTTACTCTGCATTAAAACAATCATTCAGCCCAACACAGCATGGTTTCCTTAGGGGTCGTTCAGTCGTGTCCAATTTAGTCTTGCTAAATGAGTCGCTTACATTTGCTATGGATAATGGCTTTCAAGTCGATGTAATCTACACTGATTACAGTAAGGCCTTCGACCGGATTCGGCATGATATGCTTTTGCACAAGCTTCTATTGATTGGCGTGGATGGCGACTTACTGCGCTGGTTATCGTCATATATAAATAATCGCTCACAGGCGGTTGTGGTGAAGAATTATATATCTAGTTGGCTTACAGTTCCAAGTGGAGTTCCCCAGGGCTCACTGCTTGCGCCACTCCTATTCGCAGTGTTCGTGAATGATATTGAGCACTGTTTTAAATTTTCACAGCTCTTATGTTTCGCGGACGATATGAAAATATTGGCTCCTATCTCGTCATCAGAAGACGCTCTCCTATTACAAGACGATCTAGTGAGACTTGACAACTATTGTTCCGACAATTGTTTAGATCTAAATGTAGCCAAATGTAATGTTGTCACTTACAGCAGGAAGCGGAATCTGGTATTATTTGACTATGTGGTGAAAAATTTAAGTTTGAAACGGGATGTGGTCGTTAGAGACCTAGGCGTTTTCCACGATCATAAGTTGATTTTTGATAGCCATATCGACAATATTATTTCAAAAGCATCCAGGGCTCTTGGATTTGTGATGCGTAACTCCAAAGACTTCACACAGGCTAAAACCCTAAAAATTCTTTATTGCACATTCGTCCGTAGTCACCTGGAGTACGCTTCGCAGGTCTGGAACCCTGGATACCAGACTTACATATCGCGATTAGAGAAAATACAAATAAGATTTATAAAATATCTTTGCTTTCGTACGAAACAAAGCTATAATTCGAATCGTTATGAGGAAATTTGTAAGAAACATCACTTGCTCCCTTTAGAAAATCGACGTGACATCTCTGATCTGGCTTTTCTCATCAAAATTGCTTGTGGTGCTGTCGATTGTCCTGAACTCCTGTCAAAGATCGCTCTTAGGGCCCCACAAAAACAACTCAGGTTCAATCCTTTATTATATTTACCCCCAGCTTCTTCAAAATTTCGGCAGAATTCCTTTCTGTGGCGTGCGTGCAATAGATTTAATGAGTTATCGAAGCGAATAAACGTCGACCTTTTTAACACTAGCGAAGCGTCAATTAGGCGCATTATAAGTAACCTATTTTTCGAAAGTCCATAGTGTTGTAGATTTAAGTATAATGTAAGCAGCATAGTCTATCATTGTTATGATTGTAAGCGGTCTATCTTCTCTTTTTTCTTTTTTTTTTATACTATGTCTATCTGTGACGACCTGTAAGTGGCTGTCTGTTTTTAGCTAAGATTTTTATTATGTAATTTTTAGCTGTTGGTCATCCATGTACATAAATAAATAAATAAATAAATAAATAAGATATGTCTAAAACTTTACAATACTCATATTATACTTGTCGTTATATTTGAAATTGTGTTATGGTATCTTCATTGTTTCGGATACTCTTAGATTATAATAACACATGACTTTTGCTACTTAATTTGAAATCGGAGCACTGTATGTGGTGTTGTCTAATTTATACAAACATATTATTAACTGTTTTGAAGTCATCCTGTAGCCAAGAGCTGCCCCGCGATTCTATAAAAATCCTAACCCGAATTCGGCATCCGCTCAATTGCTGAGTTGGTTGTTAACGTTTCGTGGCATAAGTGAAGTGAGTTTCGAAATGACATAGGAATAGAATATCTGAGACAATTAATCTATAATAATATTTTGTGTTTTTATACAAAAAATGGAATCAATACAATTTCTACACTTAATGACGTGAGTTCGGACACATGAGTAAATGTGAATTCGAGACCGGATTTTTACAGAATTGCTCTACTCATTAAAAAAAGTTCAATGGTTTAGGTAATTCATAAAAAATATTTTGACTATTCAAGAAAGACGGTAAGGGGCCACCCATAAATTACGTCACACAAAATTCAGGATTTTTAAATACCCCTCCCCCCCTCCTGTCACCTATTTATCTACTAAATATTGTTCTAATGTCACAGTTCCTCGATCCCCCCCCCCCCCCCCCCGTTCGTAATTTATGGATGACCCCTAAGACAAGTGCGAGTTTTTAAAAACAGAATAGGTGACAAAATATCTTCCATCTTACTTGTTAATGAATTCCTTAGCCGCTGCCGCATCAGTGAAGGACTTATGTCTTGCAGTTGGTATCTGATATTTGTTCATGAACTTTTTCGCGTAGTCTTTGTCGGCCTCGATCTGCGCTCCAGACTTGGTGGGGCCGAAGCACCGGACTCCGTACGAGGTGAGGGCATCTACCATGCCATTCGCGAGTGGATCTTCTGGACCCACCACAACTAGACTGATATCTTGCTCTTTGCACCATTTTGCAACGGCCTGGAGAAACACAGTTTTTTCTTTTTTAATTAACTATTTTTTATTGAGTTTTCCCATTACAGTCGTCAACACCCATAAATCCCAATTGCACCGTGGGAGGAGAGTAAACATAGGGTTTTTAGTGATTTAGTGATAATGTCTGTTCCCCTGTATGGGCCCATGAAAAACATAATACCTATTGTTGCTTACCTGGTAGGGGCACTATGTGCACTTTTCATGAGTAAAAAAAATATTATAATCTGCAAAATCTATAAACTATCACTCGCCTAACGTTACAACGTTATAAGTATTGAAAGAGTATTTCCCCGGCTAATTAGTTTTTGGTCTCGGTATTATATTTATGGAACGACCATTACTCCTCTGTACAGGGTAAAAACTGTATGGTGTCCTTAAATGAAGTTTGAGAATGAAATCTGATGGAATGCTGTCAGATCGCTCTAACCTACTGGGCACAATGGGCACGTGGCCAAGGCCCCGCGATCAATTGGAGCGCCCTAGTCCCTACTCGAATACCAAACCATAGATAACTTAAGATCAACTTACTTAATTTTAATCTTAATTACATTAATAACTACTCTCGGACGAAATTCGAAATTCAGGCTACAATCAAGACAGATTGGACAGTTTGTCGCTAATTGATAGTGATAATTTCGAAAACACAGATTTTGAAGATGTGATTATCGATTTAGCTGAAATAAAATCTAGAAGTCTTCAATCAGCATAGATGTAGGATATAGGACTAGGACAGCATAGATGTGGGATGCTAGTTAAATAGTGTGGATTAGATTATAATATTATCTTTTTATCATATTATCTATTCTAGTGATATTAAAGAAACAAAAATAAATCTCAAATTTTGCATATGTACATTATCTGTATATTATAACAAAATAGAGCTATTTATGGTCATATGGGCCATTATCCTAATGTGCTCTGGGCTTCTAACAAGTGAAGATACAGAAAAATGAAGATATACAAATCAAGTTGTCTTGTTCAGTAAGGTCATATTGACAAGCATCTTGCTTTGGACCAGAAAATTTTCTGTGGCTTTGTGGATTTAGAGAAAGAATTAGATAGAGTAAACTGGGATATTTTGTCCAGTATAGCATTGACCCTACAACTGAAGCTGTGCAATTCAATTATCCATTATCCATAATGTCACGCCTCTTTCTGGTAAGGGTAGGCAGGGACCTCCTTCCATTTTGCACGACACTGACATACCTCTCTCGCCTCTTCCACGCGCATTAACCTTTACGAACGTATTACGATATCTTGAATGTGCTTTTAATGAATATGGAACATACACCATTGACATAGAGCGTCTGTGTAAGGACTACAAGGGTGGTTTGAAAATTTCTTGGCCTGACCGAGATTTGAGGGTAGTATGTAAACTATTTTATTGTCATGCGACAGCTCATTTCTTTATTTTCTCGTATGTCAAGTGCCATTGTATTGAGACAAGGGGAGAATAAGTAGAAAAATAAAACATGTTTTTATTTTTTACATAGTGTAAAAGAAGTGTTGTTGGTAGTTAATCTTTGATTCAGAAAGCGCAGTAATACTGTGGTGAATCCAATGCTTATGTATGGAATTCAGAGATTGATGAAGTAAATGATTCAATTCAGGCATATCTTAATTAATGAAGCTATCAAACATATTATTTGTGTTATTTCTAGAACTTTATTAATACAAAGATTTTTGAAGAACAATTTTAACAAAGACAATTTTTATCGCATCTTTCCCCACTTTATTTACATTTGAGCTTGACTCGGTTATTGACCCTCTATCCAATTTAGAAGAAGAAAAAAAGATACCTGAGTATGTTTTATAATTTTTAAGTGATTATGAAAATAATCCGGTTACATAACTAAACCTTGTTTTTACATAGTGATTGTTAGCAAGTCCAATACTTTACCTTTCATTAAATAAAACAAAGAACTGAACCCAACTGATAATCTAATAGGTTATCAGGACATGATTAACATTGCTAATGTCTATATAAATCTATAAAATATCTCTCAAGTAGTTGAACTAATGAATTTAATTTATAATTAAACACAAAAATAGGTCAATCTTGGAAATTGGCGATTGGCGCATCATTCATTTACTTTAATATTAGGGTTAAAGTATGAAATTGCCGTTTTATTGTAATAGTTGATTGAATTGACATAGAATCTTCATAGTTCAAGCTTTTCAAAAGAAACTTTTTTCATTTTGTTTCTATGATATTTTTCTTTTAAAAAAATGTGAGATATTTGAATATCGACTTTCAATTGTTTTTGTTATTCTACTTAAGACAACTGAGCGAAACACTGGATTCTGGCAAAATCCACATGGGCAATGCCATTAATTTAAAAGAAGAAGAAAGATGGATTTTTGAATATGAGTTCCAACGCGGAAGTAATGCGTCAGAAACAGTACGCAATATCAATGTTGCATTTGGGGTGTGTGATTTTATTTTAAACGCTTTCGTGATGGAAACTTGAAGAATAAGCAACAAGCAAGACTGCTTACACAGGTGAATAACGGTGAATTATGTGAGATGATGGAAGCCAATCATAGTGAAAGATCATGGGTTCAAATCTTATCTCAGGGTGCAAACTCAAGGAACCAAGTGAATTTTTTAATCATTTTCCAATAAGAATATTTTTAGTTTAGCATTGTGAATGAGAAATTGATCAAATATAATATTAGAATAAATTTTCATCTTTATCAAAAGTAAATAAATATTAAATATTTACAGTAAATATTTGTAAAAATATTTCTTTCAACTGTTTGGGTGGATTGCCTGAAAATTGATGAGAATACACTCTGTGGTAGCGAAAAAGTAACAAGTGCTTGAAAGATTCCGAAAACTAATACAAATAACAATTTTTGCAATAGCTAAGCGACAGGTAATATTGAATACCTATTTATATTTTTTTTATTCATTATAAAAAATATTAAAATGACCAATATTTGTAAACAAATAAGTGTACTTAGCAACTTACTGAATAGTTATTTATATCCAGATCTACACTTTCAACTTTATTTGTAGTGGAGATCCCAACACTTCCAGGTGCGCAGAATATCCGCCTCACAAAGGGAGAATCTGCCAACTTCCAGCACAAGGCATGCTCGCGCCCACCGCTTCCGATCACAAGAACATTTTGTTCAGTCATTTTTCAATAATACTAGAACTTATTTACAATCCAAGTTGGTTCGAGTTATTTGCGTATTTTGTGTTAATACTTTTTATGATCGTCAAAGAAAGATTTTAATTGAAATGTTTTGTTAGATAAATCACAAATCTTAAAAAATATTTTTTTGCTATTTAATTAGAATAAAAAACTTTATTTATTTCACATTTAACTACCGACAACAACACGCGTAACAAGCTAAATGAAATTGACATTTCGCGACTCGACACAGAGATTGACTAACATGTCAAAGCAGAGGGCAGATAATAAATTAGAGAGGAGGTCAACGTACATATCGATATAAATCTATAACTTCATCGTATTTCATCATTGTTATTGTGATGACAATGTATGCGACTATAAAATATGATCTAAATGTACACTTATATAATTGTTTAAAGTTTGTTGAAATTACCGATTAAACCAAAGTCATTTAAACATTACTATTTAAATGACGCTGCCTAGCACTGTCTAGCAAGTTTTAAAACATAGTTTTACACCGACGCATTGGCTAGCAAGGAACACCCTGCGAAACTTTTGCAAATGGGCATAATATAAACTACATATGGTGAATGGGAAACTATGCGAAGCTTTTGTGATACGGTTACTACACTAGTAGATTCGCAAAGAAATGTCATTGTTACTTTCGTGGCTTGTGATAACAGACGTCTCATTGACAAATTTTTATGTACACGTACTTAAATAATTTCACGATGTCAGCCAAGTTATCGCTTCCCACTGCATATCACCATCATCATTATTAGCCTTTTAATGTCGCAATTACTGGGGCACAGATTTTTCCCTTGGATATAATAGAATCAAATGAGGAAGTATTTTAAGAAAAAAAAAGAAAGCACTAAAAAAGCACCTCGCTAGATGACGACTTTGTTTGAAAATTGATTATTGCAGGAAACGAATGGATCAAAGATGATCATTTCCGTTCCGTACGAGACTTAAATATCAATACAAATACGAAAAAGTGCAAATGGAATATGAGTTGTTTATTGAGTTTTGAAAGTTAATTTACTTTTATGCATGAAAGAAAACCGTAAGGGTTATCAAAGAGAAATCAAGAAATTACGATAGCGACATCTAGTTTGATTTCGGGGACAATTTTTTCCTTATTGGAAGAATGGGCCATTCATGAAGACGCGGGCCCAGTACAGATTGGTGGGTGTTAATATTTGCTGATGCAGCCCGGACTAACTACTTAATGTACTTTCCATATCATGAAGAAACTCAAGATAATAGATTTTTCTTCATCTATCCTATGAGGGACCCTTGCGAAAGTTGTTTAACTTTCACTTAGTAGTTTGTTTGTCAAAAAATTAAGTAGCGAGAATAAGAGATATATATATAGAACAAAAGATATATATAAAACACACAATTACAGCAAGACAGACAGACACTTATTTAAGAGGTTGACATAGCTGCCAAACGAGGCGGATTTATGATATTTATGTATAGTACTTAGTTTTTTAGTGAAGGATTGAATATTTTCTAGCCATAAACGAAATACAAAAATTCCTTTGAATGTTACACGAGTATTTATCCTTAACTGCATGAATTGTCTATGATGATAGTTATACATCGACTTTACTACAGCCTCAGTTAGAGCAGTTAGAGCAGCTCGCGTAGCATGACGAACTCGAGAACGTTTTGTCTACACTCAAATGTCACTTTTCTCGGGTCCGCTCATACTATATCTCACTCTCGACCCGAGAAACTGACAAATGTGTGTTGACAAAGCGTGCTGGATTGCCAAAGGTCATGGATTTGAGTCCCATCTCAGAGTTATGGTAGCTAGGATTATTATAGAAGTTATTTCGCTTAAAAAGCTTCTACAAGAATATTAACGTAAAGGATTCATGTTAGGTTAGGACGTTTGCACCCTTAAAAATTTTTACATCTCTCATATTCGATAAGTAGGTCGTTAGTAACCCCAAATGAGG